AAACAATTTCTAAATAAAATGAATTTTAATAATTGCAATAAAATTTTTATTTCACATTTTACAATGCAAAGTAAATAAATAAAAGTGAAGTAAATCTAAATAAAAGTTTTAAATAACAGTGTGGTATCCCATATCTAACTCTGCATAATTGACAGAAATTTGTCATTCCAATTTTTTTTTTTCACTGATTAAAGGGTGCATGAAGCACCCACGGCGCCCGAAACTGCCCCCGATATATCGGTTGATAGTGATTATAATAATAATGCAGGATGAAGAAAAGTGCAAACACTGAAGGCGTTTAGCTTTTAAAAATAATCCGACGTCGATGACGTTACTATTTTTTTAATTATAAAATTAAAACCCTTATAAAATCTGTTTACACAACATTTATATTTTTGCAATCAAATATTGATTTGTTACTAATTTCAACAACACTTCAAATTATTAAATTTTAATTCGCCTTCTGTAAATCAGCTCTTAGTTAATGTGCGACACAAATAATTACTTTGTTGCGTTGGAAACCTATAGAAAGTGTTTATATTAATTAAGTGTTTATTTTAATCATTTTGAGTAAATACATTTATTAATTTACTCGATTACAAAGGTAACAGCACGAAATCATGTATCCTAGCCGATGAAACCTTCGAAGGAATGTTTGTTGATGTTTGTGACCCAAAAGATTTATTGCTGCGGTTTGAGTTTAGCCCCTTGCTAGCCGGCCGGGTTTATAGGGGTGCCATTCTTTTTGCTCGTGACTGTACCTTGCTGATTTTAATTTAAGTAAGTTCTGAACAGAAATCTTTTTTTCTGCTTCGTATACCTGCAGAACTGACACATGATAATTTGATCCAGAAAATTGTCTGTACGTCCCAAATCTAGCCTCCAAATTATCAGTCTGATATTTTCCGGGTAGTACGTATGTTATACCTGGCAAATTCAAACTAAATTTAATGAGTTCTATTAGTGAAGAATGGTATGAGTCAAGGATAAAAAAGTATCAGGAGTTAGACGCTGAGACTCTAAACAGGAGGTTAAGGCCATCCTTAACCCCTCCTGATTATCTCATTCCAACAGAAATTTTATAGGTATGATACTTTACTTCCTTAAAACTTTGGAACAGCTTCTATATAACAAACGAGTAAAAGGGTGAATTCAATTGAAAACTTCAGAAATAGGAAAAAAAGCTTTCGTATTGTTTTTCGTATTGACTTTCGATTTTGATCTGCGTGTATTGAAACACGGGAGTGTTTGGAATACTTGTTTTTTAATAAATTAATGCAACACTGTATTCAAAATGTAAATAAATCTTCAGAATTGTTAAAAAAATATGAAATATTAATGCAATTTTACTTTTTAGTAAGACACCCTGGATATAATTATTTTATAAAGATATCACACAATTAGAGAAAATTATTATTACTGTTATTAATAATAATAAAAAAATAATTCATTTCTTCGTACGAGTAAAATTTTCCGTTTATTAAATAAAGTAACTTCAATGTCAATATAATAATGTTAGAGTTTTTATCACGTTTTATTAAAACGATGTATCAAGTTCATTTCAGAATGAGTCAAGAAAACGCACTATCAAATCTATTATTTCGATTTGGGCAATTTTGTGCCATTTGTGTTCCAAATATCACAAGAAGAAATTCTAAAGTACCATGTTGGTACATTCTGTATACTATTGGAGTTATAGTAATTATTTGCTGTTTATGTATTTGGTCTATTTTCAACAAATTGATTCAATTTCGAAGCTACAGCTATTTTAGTGTGTTTGTGTTTGATATTGTTACAATTGTAACACTAACATCAGTTAGCATCTTGGTAATTGTGAATGCAGTTTTTGTCAAGGAGAAACGTATAAGAGCGCTTGTAATAAAATTATCAGAGATTAAAGAAAATGGGAAATTTGCAAATAAACAAACAAAGATTGCAATTATAGAACTTGTAGCTGTCCATTTAGTGTTAAGCTTTTTGTACAGTTATGATTTGTTTTCTAATGGTATTAGTTTTGGTTGGCACGCTTATATATTTGATGTGCCAAATTTTGTCAATGAATATATCATAGCCATTGAAGTTTTATACATTTGCAGCTACACTGTTTTAATAAGACGTATAGTATCAGACTTGAATACGTCTTTAATCCATTTGTTGCAAAACACAGATAAAGAAATTTTGAAAAAATGTCAAGAAATGAATATCAAGTTATGCAATGTGATTGACGAGTTTAATGAATGTTTTGGATTGCAAATTTTAGGAATTCTGTTTGTTGGTGTCATTTATACGACTTACACAATCTTCTTGTTGTTAATTTATGGCAGTGGAAGTGTAACACCAGAAAATGACGTCAGTGTTATATACGTTTTGATTTTATATATCCTCGTGTCGCTTTTATATATGGTAAAGTTTCAATTTGATCGTCATTTGAGATTTATTTAAACTTTCAGATATTTGGAATTATGATAACAAAAGCTTGTGTGTCAACAAGCAATCTTATACAACGCACCCCAAATATTTGTTACAAGTTGCTTTCCAATATTAGTATATTTCCAAAATCTTCCAATGATCAATTGTTGCGAAAAGAATTGATACTTTTTGCTGAACAATTGAGTCAAAGACAAGTCATGTTTCAAGTGGGAGGGTTTTTAAATATTAACTACGGGACTTTGTATTCGTTGTTTGGGTCCACGGCAATGAATGTTATAATTCTGCTGCAATTTCAAAAGCAAGGAAAATATAACTAATTTGATTGCTGACATCGGTTGCAGCATAAAATGACTCATTTACTCGTACTTAATTAAGAATAGACAAATTTTAGGGTTTATAAAATCAAAGTTCATTTAAAATCTTAAGTTTTTTTAATGCAATCTGGACTTTTACAATAAATCAGTATGTATAGTCAGTCTATTCCCATAATTAAAATCACTTATCAAAAATCAAACTGTTGTGTGTTTGCAGAGGATTGGAAATAAGAAGATTGTAGTTATCACTAAATAAACTTTTATTCTTCCAACTACTATAGTAATACCACTATAGTACATGTAGAGTGGGCAGAAAGATATATCGTGTTTACAACCTTTTATGGGTTTGATTCTTTAATAAGTTTATGGCCAACCCAACATAAAACTAACCAGCACCATTCTTAGCACGCTCAAGGTTGGTCAAAAACGCACTCTAAATCTGTTTACCTTCTTTTATTGGTGTCTACAAATGATAGTTTGCGGTTAGACCTTTATAAAAATTAGTGAAAGTTAAGTATTGGACCCAGTAAATTCAATTTACTGTCAGTTTTTTAAATCACAAGACTAATTCTGTTTTAAATGCGGATAAAGCACATTGTTTTAAATGATATTTCTTGTCAGCCCTATAACTCGCTTACGGTTAGTCCTACAACAAAAATGCAAAGGGCGAATTTTGTAAGCGGTAATTTTGATAAGAAGGTAAAAACCGGTAGGAGTGATCGTTTCTGAGTTATAAGCAAAAAAAAACGAAAGAAGACATCTTTACGTGTAAAGAAAGCGTTAAAAAATCCAACTCTCTAGGATTTTTTTCCACCGATTTGTGTAATTTGACTGGGCTACATCCTTTAAGGTTTGCACAAAACGTTTCGTTTCGATATTTGTAGCTGGATTAAGAACGGGTGTAAGTTTCTATACAAACTGTGTCTTATTGAAAAATCGAAGACAATATGCAATGACTCGAATAAGCTTGGTTCACGATGAATATGTGTATGACGGTTCAAATTTTGACATTGGTGAGCTTAGAAACGTCATTGATTTCATTTCTTTTATTTCTACGTCTATTTCAGAGGCGTGATTGATTGTTTGAACTGGCCATATTGATTCTTCTTGATTGAGAAAGTGTGGACCACTGCCTTTTGTACAGTGTTGCTTAACTCTGTAGCGTGAGTTGGCATTGGTGATTGTTCATTTGATCGGTTGATCTCATAAAAACCTCTGCTCCAAAACCTGCCTCTGAAGCATCCGCAAATATGTGCAACTTATAAAGTGAATTTGGTGAGCATACATGTCTCGGAATTTCCAGCTCATTTAACATTGAAAGCTGATCTTCGAAAGTTTCTCACTAATTTAAAACGAACTCATCTGCTGGCTCATCTTAGTCTTTCTTGGATAACCATAATTGCTGCAATATTAATTTAACTCTCATGACGATCGGTGCCAACAGACCTAATGGGTCCAATAGTTTTGCTATGCGTGACAAAATTTGTCATTTAATGATACTTCTTGTGCTTTCTCTGCTGACCGCGTACAACATCTCTTTGTGGATTCCACTTCAATCCTAAAGTCTTTGTGGATTCATTTGTGTAACTTTGTGGAAGATTCATGTTGATTTTTTGTAATACGGAATTATTGTTGATTGAAGCTTCGTTAGATTTCCATTTTCTGAATTCAATCTAGTTGTACTGAGAATTTTGGATATGTCTGTCTTGAGGTTTTGTATTTGCTCGGTGGACTCACCACCAGTTAACAGGTCATCAACGTAGAAATTATTAATAATTATAGTTCTGCTGGATACGGGAAATATTGTTTCATATTCAGTTGCTAGCTGAACTAAACATCTAACACAGTGATTCTCAACCTTTTTTTTTGTCGCGGCACACTTTTAGCGATTTCAAAATTTGGCGGCATACAAGGAAAAAGATAAGTGTAAAAGTTGTTAGTTACCAATAATACACTGTGTAAAATAGTTTGATAATCATTTTCAATGTAAAATAAAATAATGTGTACTACAAAAACGACAGTACGCTTATTAAGGGATTAATTACAAGTTAATAATAAGAATACTTTTAATAAGAAATTTGAGCTTGATGTTTTTTGATAATTTCATTTATATTTGGTCGTAAAAATGGCAATACCACTCTCATATCGTCTTTTATATTTAACACTCTTGATCTTTTTTCTTTTTTATGTTGGTTATTACTGAAAATCCGAATTTACACAAATAAGATGTAGTGTAATGGAAACTATATTTAGTTAAGTTTACAAGAGCGGCCCTCCGGACCTTGGTGGTCACCAGCGCCCTCTTTTGAGCATCCCGTTACAGACTCCCCCTCAGGACCGACTTGACGCCCTCGTAGGAGCTCCTGTACGTTGTTTCTCGTTTCCCCCTTTGCGAGGCCCCTGTTTCTGATAGGAACTACCGGGGTTGGAGTCCTGGTTCTTTTGGCTGCACGATAAGGCGTTAAATCTGTAACATTATACACATTTACTACGGTACCGTCTGTACTCGCAACTTCATATGTCGTAAGTGACTTCCGTCTCTTTTTGGTGCAAACTTGGAAGATGTCCCTTTGGCAAAGTTACTGTGAACGTGGGTCTTGATCAGGACGAGGTCACCTTCTTTAAATTGTGGGACCATCCTCCTCTTCTTGTCGGCGTATAACTTTCGCTGATCTTGAGTCATTTCCTGGGTTTCACGGGTCTCAGCCAATGTGTTTACCATTCTCTTCAGATAAACGGCCATCTCTTCGGAAAAATTCTCTTTGGTGACGATTTCTCGCAGATCTTGATGCACTTCATCCGGACACCGTAATTCACGTCCGAAAGTGAGATATGCGGGCGTGTGTCCAACTGACACGCAATTGGCGGAATTAATCGCGAACCAAATCGCGGCTAATTTCTGCGACAAATCCCTATGTTCATTTGCTCTAAATTGCTTGATTAAACGTTGAAAATTGGCTCCTGAATTTTTTTTTTAAATCGATACATCCCAAACGGAGTCACAAATGCTGTCTTGTCTCTATCAACTTGGCGTACTGCGACTTGCCAGTAGCCGGATTTCAGATCAATCGTTGTCATATACCAAGTTTGTTTTGCCATATGAAGAACATCATCAATCCTTGGCATAGGATATGAATCTCGAACGGTCTTATATCTAATTTAACCTAAAAAAAAACTTAATCTAGGTGAGTGTGCGAGTGTAGTGTGAGTGAGTGAGTGAGTGAGTGCGTGCGAGAGAGAGATAGTGTGTGTGTGTGTGTGTGTGAGAGAGAGAGAGAGAGAGAGAGCAATTAATCTAGCTAACTAACCTATCTCTTACATATTAATCTAATTTAACAATATTAACTTAATAACTAACATGCAAGCCTAACTAATTGGACTTCCCAATCCGATTTTGTGCGTCTGCGAACAGGTGGTGCTCCAAAATCATGTGGACTGGGTCGTCGCGACTAACCTAGTTTTACAATTCTAGCCTAATTACTTATTCTAAAGTTACATCCGGGGGGGTCAAATTCAGGGAAAGTGCACGAAACACTTCATCATCGTCAATGTAGGCCACCTGAGTGAGATCCTGGGCTTCCCCGAAAAGGGGGCATTCCAGAATGCGGTGGACCGGGTCGTCGTCATAATCGGGGCAATTTGGACACAATGAGTTTTCGCTTTTTCCAAGCCGTGATTGGTGGATACCAAAGTTCCCGTGTCCTGTGAGAACTTGAGACTTGTGATGCTAAAACGTGATCGGGGGTCCTTCAAGGCGTTGGAAAATGTCCGGGAAAAATTCAAACGAGATCCGTCCTTTCGTTGATGTTTCCCAACGGTTTTGCCAACAATCAAGYGCTCGAAGTTTGACATATTCCTTGCAGTGGTGGATGGAGTCGAAAGTATGAGGGGCAATCATTTCATCAATGAATAAAACACTGCGACCGTGTTTTACTTCGCTGATGCAATTCCTAACTTCGATTTCGAGGTCCATTGGCAAAATTCCAGCGAGAACAGAAGCTGCTTCTTTCGAGACCGATRCGTAGCATTTTGCGAGGACGCGATTAAACGGCGCCTGAGCAGATAAGTATTGCCTGTTGTTCTTGGCAATGTGAAGTCGGTCCGACCAGATACGGCTGCCATATGCAATAATTGGAACAATGGCTCCGTAATAAATCGTTTTGAGTGATTTATCACAGGTTTGTCCAWACTTCCTTGCAGCGAGGCTTCGTAGGCTTATCGTGATTTGACGGATTTTCTTCGCATTGTGGCTAGCATGGCTTTCAAAATGCAGTTTTGAATCAAGAAGTATGCCAAGATACTTCTGAGTCTTCACCAGCTCGATCTTGTGATCATAAATCATGATGTTAAGGTCACGGTGGTGGGTTCTCGGGGGGCATTTGTGGATCATGAATTTCGTTTTGGTTTCTGAAACTGTCAATTTATTACGAGTAGCCCAAACTGTAATTTTGTTAATTACCTCAGTTAGTCGCGTTTTAAATTGAGTCCGAAGGTCCGACTCCACTATGACAGCAAGATCGTCCGCATATGCAATTGGGGTTGCAAAGTCTGGCCATTCCGAGTCCAAAAGGGTGTCCATGATCAAGTTCCATAAAGTGGGGCCCAAAACGGATCCTTGAGGGCATCCTTTTGTGCAGGTTTTCCGGACGGTGAAGTCCCCCTGCGTGAATTCCACAACTCGGTTGGTCAGGTAGCTTTTGATCATGGCCGTCAGCYTCGGAGTCGCGCCTCGACTTCTTAAAGCCTTTATAAGGGATGGCCACCACAAATTATCGAACGCGCCCTTGATGTCGAAAAAGATTGTCGCCACATATTTGGCCTGGGAGTCTCGAATTGTTGAGACAAGTGAGTGCAGTGCATCACTTGTCGAACGTCMTTTGACAAATCCAAATTGGCGTTGAGAATGTAACGGCGACAATTCTTCCTCCAGCYTTCTCCTGATGGTTTTCTCGAGGATTTTTCCATGTTCCGGAAGCAGCGTGATCGGGCGATAATTCTTAATATTTGCGTGGCTGGCTTTTGGGTCCTTTAACAAAACCACAAGGTTTCCCTTTTTCCAGGTAGTCGGAAAGTAGTTTTGAGTCCAGCAAGCATTGTAAATTCGGGTTATAAGCGGCGTTATTTTGGGGTGCAATCTTTTAAGGATTTTTCCTTTTAAATTGTCCAGGCCCGGGGCTTTCTTGTTTCGAATTTGGGTCACGAAATCATTGACTTCCWCCTCGGTGATTGCAACGTCATTTCCCACTTCCGCAGTGGTTGCTCGGTAATCCGCTTGAATGACGCGTTGCTCATCGGTGTTGGTGTCGGTGTCGTCGTCCGGAAGTAAGTTCGCAATGAGAAATTCCATGGTAGATTGGAAATCCCTGGTTATGTTGTCGTCCTCGTCGGTTTGAAAAGATTGCAAAATTCCACGAGTTTTGAATTTTTCAGAGGCCAATTTGTAGACAACTCCCCAGGGGTTCCTTGCCAGGTCATTCTCGGCGAATTCCAACCARCAYTTCTGTCTCCGTTTCTCCACTTTCTCTTTGAAAGTTTGCTTKGCCCTGGTCATTTCCGCGAARAGATGGTCGGAATATTCTCGAAATCTGTTGCGATAAAAGAGAGTCTTTTTCGCAAGGTAGATTTTTCGAAATCTCTCCAATTCTTCGTTCCACCAATCGGGCCTTCCCACAAAATTTTTGCGTTTTTTCCCGTGTYTGAGAAAAATCTCCGCAAGTCCKCTGTAYAGTTCCTTCGTCGCATTTTCRATTTCCGGGATGGAGTCGATTGTTGAAAATCTTTCATCCAAAAGGCTCATCAGGTCATCGACAAGCGGTTGAAGGACTTCATCTTTAATCGAGGTCAAGTCCAATCTGAAATTAAGACARGGTGCAGCATGGTCTGTATAAGCAAGATTTTTATTAATTCTAAAGCTAATTAAATTATGGTCTGATGAGGTTGCATTTTCAACTTTCCAATTTGAAATTTCAATAAATGGATCGTTTGAGTTAATCGTCAGATCTATATTTGATTCGCCATTGATGGTTTGAAAAGTCGGTAAATTATTTGGTTGATTGGATAAATTTAAGTTATAATTTGCAATGAATTCCTCAATAATATGTGACTTTCTATCGTTAAACYGGTCAAACCAAAGCTGCGACCTTGAATTAAAATCTCCACAAATAATGATTCTATTACCTGCTACAAATTCTATTATCTTGTGCAGGTGTTCAAAAATTGGCAACGGACTTTCACTTGGAGGCAGGTAGACGCTCAAACAATAAATTTGTACATTTTTCACAGAAATGGAAAGTAATGTCAGGAATTTATTAGAAAGTTGAGGGTAAAATAGTGGATTTAAACTAGGGTCAAAACACAGAATTGCCGTTTGAAATTTCGGATCGTTAGTTGCAAAGCAGCTAATTGCGGTCGAGATTCCTGACAATTTGTAATTTTGCCCACATTTAACCCTATGCGGTTCTTGTAATAAAGCTAATTGAACTTTGTTATCAATTCTGCCGTTGCCAATTTTGACCCATTGCAATTCAATTGAATAATTCTGATTGAATTATCCATCAAAGTCAATGTTTTTTAGGGCCTCCTGCAGCCGATGTTTATAAATARGGCAGTTAAGCGACCCTGCACAATGATTAACTTCTTGCTGTTCAGATCTTATGCAATTGCTACATTTATGTTTGGCCTCTTCGTTCTTAACTTTGCAATTCATCGATTCATGATCAGTTCCTGRACAATACCCGCATTGTTTTTCAGAATTACAGAATTTTGAAACATGTCCAAACTTTTGGCATTTAAAACAACGAGTTACTCTTAGGTAGTCCCTAATATGCAAAGATTTCCAACTWATGTACATTTTGCTACCTGTCTTGATAAAATAATTTCGTGCAGCTGGGTGTAATTCAACCACCCAGTGATTTGATTTACCGTCTTTGTTCCCTACTTTAAACGCAGACTTGACAAAATTTTCTGGAATATTTTCCGGCAGGCCCTCTTGTTTCAGGATTTCTTTGACTAATTGTTCTGTTTCCATTTCCTTAGGGACGTCAAAAATTTGAATTTTTGGCCACACTTTGTTAATACGCTCAGCGCAGAGGTTTAGCRATTTCAAAACTGGATTCTCCGTCAAATTCAAAATTGATGAACAATTTGATTCAACGAGAATCGCATTGTTCCGAATCGGCACAATTTTGTTAACTTTGATCCCAAAATCCTTAGGGGACTTGGACGTCAAAATTTTGCGGGTGTCCTCAGATGATTTGATATTTTTTAAACTGGCATTTGGCTTTATAATCACTTTATAACTAGTATGAGCGAGTGTGACCGGGGGGCTTACAATATTTTCATTCGTATTTTTATGTTGCAAGATAGATTTTAGAATTTGGCTATAGCGGGGGCCAATCGGAGAGACGAGGCTATTGTCTCCTAGTTTATTTTCAATTGCTTTCTCCACTATATTAACAATTTTCTGTTCAAAATCATTTTCAGGATTTGGCTGTTTAAAATTTAACAAAATTTTTCTAAGTCCTAATTGAATATTCTGAATGGCCGACTGATACATTTGTTATTCGCGCATAGCATCTTTTGATTTTAAAATAAAAGAGTCCAAAAAGTTTAAATGCTGCACACAATTTTCTACAATCTGAGGGATATCATCGCTATCGTTTCCAATTTGGCGTTCATCGAGCGGCGATGCCGTTAAATCTCGGCCCGTCGTCGACATTTTTAAAGATTTTTGCAAGCCCTAATGGGCAAAAAGATTTTTAAACGACTCACCAGATTTATTTCGGTTTGTGTTGCCTGGAAACCGCTTCGTCACAAGCACGAACACAATTTCCACTTTCACTTTCTTTGATGCTCGATCGGTCAGAGCGGAGCGGAGCGATCCGACCGGTTCAAGCGATGAACAGTGACTGGGGGTGGATGACAGTGGGGGCATA